CTGAGTAAAGTATCACTTACTTTATTATTTGAAGAAGTGCTTATGTCGTTTCCACTTTCAGTCTTAGATGCTGGAACCGTTTTATGAATTCTACTTAGTCTAATCCTTGAAATAAAAAAGAAAACATTTCAGCTGCTTTAGACACATACACTGCAATACAGAATTAAATGAAGTGTTACCTGATGGGACTTTCCTTTGCATCTGGTGGACAAACCATCTGTGCTACAAAGACACCGTGTCTGGACCTACGTGTCTTCGGTGTGGACATCTTCACAGGGCTGATCTGAGGTGAAGCAGCATTTAAAGTCTCTTTGGACTCGTTCTGTCTCCTGGTTTTCCTTACAGGACTTGTTGGGGTTTTTTCAGGCGATTTTTTAACCACAGTCTCTCGTCTGGACCTCCTCAGAGCTGGGACTGTAGGAGTTGAGGTGATGGGAGGTACGTCTTTGTCATCTTCTGCTTCTGCAGCTATAACCTCGGTTTCTTTTACAGTAGGTGATGTGTGGGTCGCCTCCTGCTTATCATTAGCTTTATTTCTTCCCTTTTTCCCACTTTTCTTTTTGGATGCTTTGCTCTCCTGAGGCCCTTGCTCTGCAGAAGGAACTGAAACATCTCCATCCTCAGCAGCCTCCACGGTCTTCTCCTCGGCTTGCTTCTGTTTGCTTTGGTTTTTAACCGGTTTAGTCTTGGAGCCATCCAGACTGGGCTGCTTGAAGGCAGCCATGAACTGCTTCCTCTCGGCTTCACTGCACTTTGGAGTTGATTCGCTCTCAATCACAGCCAGCTCCAGATCCTCCTCCTGAAGAACAACGTTGGACCTTCGTTTGCTGGCTGAAGAAGGAGAAGGAAGGTGGCGTCCATCGTCTGCTGGAGGAGAAGCAGCAGGCTCTGCGGAGATACCGGCTCCTTTTCTCCTGGTGAAGATTGAAGCAAACTTTCCCACAGCTTTGACGTTTTCCTGTTTGGGTGAAACAGCATGCACCTCGGCCTGAATGGTGAGAGTTCGGGGTGAGACTTGGACCGGGCCGACACTTTCCTCAGTCTTGGGGACATCCAGTTGCTCACAGTTTAATTCCTCTGCTTTTTCTTTGTTTTTACTATCATCTTCTTCACCTGGGTCTTCTATTACGTCTTTGCTTTGACTATGACTCCGCACAAAATCCTCAAAGGAGACGGTAACAGTACTGCTGTTCAGCTCAGAGGTTTCACCCAAGCTGACATTCATACTGACATCACAAAGTGATTTATCCGCTTCCTTCTCCTCTGGCTCTGGATGCTTTGACTCTTTTTGCTGCCTCTTCGTAGGTTTTCTTGCTGCCTTTTTTACCTGTTTTACTTCAAGTCTTGGAGATAATGCTGTAGTGTTCCGCTTTGCTTCTACATCATCAGTATTTTCACTTTTGCGATCTCTCTGTTGAGGGGAATCTCTTTCAGTTTTCTCGTCACTGACGGTTTTGCAGATTTCTGATTCACATGTCTCTGCACTGAGCTTTAACAACAAAGCTGCCGTGTCGCTTCCAAGGGTCCCATGGCTGACAGCTGCATCTGAACCTTTGCTTTCCTGTGTTTCTTCAACAACCAGGCAGTCATCGGAGGCACCTACATCTTCGGTCGGCACAAGTTTCCTCGCAGCTCTGCTGGTCTTTCTGCCCCGTTTCTCAGACGACTTTCTTCCCACTTCTGCGTTGGTGCGTTTCTCTTCAGGCTGAGGTTTTTGGCTGTTTTCTTTGAGGTCTTGTGGTGGACTTGTCTTTTCTTTAGAGGAAGGAGTCTTTCGACTAAAGTAGTCCATGATGTTACTGGAGCGAGGAGGAGAGAAGGGTTTCTCCACAGGTTTGGGAACAGGCGAGAAATAGTTTGTGATCTGCTTGACATCTTTGCGAGATTTCTTGCAAGGCTGTTAAGAGAGAAAACACAAATGGGATGATTTCTGAACATCTAAATAATACAGTTTTGCATTTGTGAGCATAAAAAGGGAATTATAAAGGTGCTTGAAACAACAAAAATAAGTATTCCAAGGTACATATAATAGAGATTGAATTAAGTTTTCTTTTATCAGTGGATAAATGTCTCACCATGGGGTACAGATATTATTTAAGGAAATCTATAAAAACTTTCTCTATATCTTAACATCTTAGTTGAATAAACTTACCGTAAGTCTAGTCAAGATATTTAGAGAAATTCTGGGAAATAAAACATGACTAAAACTAATGTTTAATGTAACATTTCAGCACAATGAAGCACTTTGAACTGCTCTGCCTCTGAAATGTGTGGTACAAATAAACTTGACTAAAATGACTGACTATAACGACTAAAATTTAAAACTACGTTAAACATATTGTCAAAATTAACACTGGCCTCGATACACATAGCATTACAGTTTCATTAAAACCAGTTTGACACTATTTTTTTCAATTACAAAGGATCTTTTGCATTTGTGTTTCACCAAGCATTGATCAGCTGGAAGTGTAACAATCATTACAAAGAAAACTGTGGAATGGACATATAAAAACAAATAAAGCTATTTTCTGCATAAGCACTGTAAAACAATAATGACAGCTGTATAAATTGTATTGTGATTTCTACCTGAGTGTCAAAGTCCTCAATGACAGAAGCCATAGCCACAACACCGGCCATAATTTCAGGAGACCTGAAAGAAATGTTTAGATTTGTAAACATAACGAGTATTATTTATGGATTTATATGCAGTTTTTAATAAATAGATCTAAAAGGACAGTAATTTCTCTGGTAAACGATAGATACTTTTTGACCAGTATGTTTTACACGATCTATTTGGACAACAGCACTCCTAAATACTAATACATCCTTTCAATCTTATTTAAATGTTTGAAGACTATTTTATGAACAAAGTCCACATAAAATGTATCAAGACTCAGAGAGCTGTTATATAATACAATGTGAACGTAAATGACATGGTTAGTGTGTTTATTTACACCCGTTATTTGGCGGCCAGAAACGCATCTAGTTTGGTTTAAAATAAGTGGCGGATTGATACAACAACAGAGAGCTAAAGAAAACTCACCAATATGTTATACCCGTAGCTTGCTGCAACGTCAGGGACTGTTTTCTTATTTGCTACTTTGTGTGTAAATAAAAAAGCAACCGTATCATTCATAGTTCGAAGCAGACGAGTGTTTGTTGTCAGCAGGTTTCACTGTAAAACAACAAGCTAACTAAGTCTCACTTCAGCCCGTCTCTGCGCAGCTCCTGAAAGTCCTCCGAGCATTTTCCAGTTCAGACTCGGGTATCTGAAGGAAGCACGAAGGTCTTCACTTTAATATTTCAGGAGCTGCGGCAAATTGGCGCAGTTTTCTAGACATTTTTCAGCCGCTTCAAAAACGCGCCAGACTGCTGGTGAACGAAAAGCGCCAAATTTACGTGACCTTTCACGAGACAGCCTTCGGCCAATCAGAGACAAGAAAAACAGTCCGTCATCTTCTGACGTATTTCACCAACAACAAAGATGGCGTTCTGAGTCTCATTTGATGCATGAAGAATATTCACAGCGACCTCTAATGTAGAGAGGAAGTGGCATAAACATCAAAACATTGAAAGAAATCAGTTAAATAAAATAAAAGACACACAAAGTAAATAAATAAATATATATATCCTTGATTCAGTTTCTTATTAAGTGTCTAAACCTTTAAATTTCATATAATTGTTTTTAGCATTTATCTGTAGGCATTATAACTTTGTCCATGGATAACATACTCATTATTTAATGCATGATTCATCCATTCAATTACTTAATTGTACATTGATAATTTATTGGCATGTTTACATAAACCTTGACACATAATCAGAAATTAATGCTTTACTCAAATTCAATTGAAATGATTAGGAAAAAATGTACAAATTATGTATTTGCATAAATTTTCAGTTTAGAAGTAGAAAGAAATAAGCCATACTATTTGCTGATATACATGACATTCCTTCCCATTATGCTCTTTTTCACATTTAAACAAGATTTGTTCATCCTACACAGTTAGACACGTCTGATTTATGTAACTTCATTGAGTGACACTTTTGTAAATTTACGTAATTTATGTAGTGATCTGAAAGGGCTTATTAACAATTCTCTGGTGCTAATAACTATATGTTTTTCATAGTTTTGAAGAAGCAGTTATGTTTCTCAAATTAGTAGCACATCGAAAGAACTTCGAAGTGAGAGGTGTCTCAGTTCAGAGCCAATTGTTTCATCTGGTTTTTGTCTCCTTCTGATGTTGTGTAATATTAAATTGCATAAAACATGACAGAGAAGCAGAGCTACCATCAATAACAGTTTCAGCCCTGAGTCTAAAGCTCTGATTTATGCCACAAATAAAGTAATAAATCATGAGGAAACATTTTAAATGGGTAAACTACGATATTCAATAATTTAAACCAACAAGCTGATGTGTGTGAAAAATGACTCAGACTTATTGAATAGAAAATTGAACTGAGTGACAGGAGCACTGAAGCAACAAAAACTATATAGAAAATAAGATTTATATACAAATCTTATTTTCTATATAGTTTTTGTTGCTCTCTTCAAATTTCAAATTACTATGTAGATCTTCAGTAGAGCAAATTATCATAATGAGTAAATGTTTGTTTTCCCTTTCGAATTGACCCAGTGGGGTTTATTCTGAGATAATTGATGAAACTATATGAAGGTAATACGCTAAGGAGTGGACCAATTTTCGTCAATCACATCCTCCTTTAACTTCTACCTCTTTTACCTCACACCTTTTCACCCCATCATCCTCGTCTCCCTTTCAATTCCTTCCATCTCATAACCATGCTTTACTCCTTTTGGCTGTAGACTCTGGAAAATAAAATGAAACTAATTTTCCAGATGATCATGCCCCCACGCTGAGTCTTCAAATCCCAAGCTGTTAGAGTAGAAATGCAGTTATTCTATTCCTCCAGCAGATGACGCTGTCTGACCATGTTTGACCTTCCTAACCAATCGTCAGTCTCAACACGACCTTTGAACTCTTTTAGGAATAGACAGGGAAAGGCAGGAACAAGCGGAAACGTCGGCAGAGTTTGGAGCCTAATGAAATGGCTGCCTATGCTCATATTTCCAAATTAGGTCAGTGACGTTTTAATAAAACTCTCTGTAAAGTTTATCCTTTCTCTGATTATGTTTTTTTTTAATATAAACTCTCATTTTACTGACTGAGTATGTTAAATTCAAAGACTGACTTTGTGCAAGAGTTGGGAGTTGGAGAAAAAGGCGACCTCACCTTTTCTAGTTATTTTTTATTTAAGGTTAATTTTGTGTAAATGTTATTGTGGATGTTTTCGCATATAAATGTAGGGTTAAACTAAAATAGTGCATTCTGTGCAGGTCTAAATAAAGTAGGTATTTCTAAACTGTGTTGAATTAGCACCTCATTTCTCTTTACAGCACAAAGCCATCCTGCTACAGAGTTGAGGATTGTGTTGATAGGAGGAAGATTAAATGGAAGTCTAAGTGGTAAAAGTTCAGCTGGAAACTTCATCCTGGGTCAAAATGTTTTTGACACCAGCAGAAGAACAGCTCAGAGTGAAGCGAGGCAGAAGGAAGTGTTCGGCAGACGAGTCACAGTGGTTGATACTCCAGGATGGTGGTGGATTTGGCCTAAAGAAGAAACTCCCAAACTGGATCAGATAGAAATCCAGAACAGTGTCCATCTGTGTCCCCCAGGACCTCATGTCTTTCTGCTGGTCATTCCTGTTGATTTATATTTACCACAGTGGGTCAAAGCTTCACTAAAGCAGCACCTGAAACTTTTCAATGTAGATGTTTTCTGTCACACCATCGTGCTGATCACTGCAGTCGCTCCATGTAGTGATGAAGAGGTAGAATCCAGAATCAACACAAGTCCAACCCTGAGGTGGATTCTTCAACAATGTGAAGACAGAAAACATTTTCTCAACATCAGTGACAGAGACGATAAAGATCAAGTTAAGATCTTGTTAGAGAAAATTGAGACCCTGATTATAATCAATGGATTCAGACACTGTTCTGTTGACAGAAGTCAAGGAGAAACTCTGAGAAAAGAAATGACAAGTTTGACTGAAAGAGCCTCAAAAAGGTTTAATCAAATGCAGAAACAAAGAAGGAAACTCAGAGAGCTATTTGAAGGTAAGTTGCAAGTTATTTTAGTTCTAATAGACTACAGTGATCCTCAGGCTGTAGATTAGTGGGCCCTGCCAACTTTCAGATGTATCCCTTGTCCTGCAATTAAATTAAGAAATTGCAGCCAGATGTACTGAAGCAGAAAGAAATCTAAAAGTTGTAGAACACTGGTCCTTGAGGAATACAATTTGAGACCCCTGCTGTAGATGGTTATGCACAATTGAATGATGGAGGACAATAAATCACTCAATTGACCTCTGAAAAATGTTTTCACTTTAATTCTGAGATGATGGCTATGCCTTTGACTGAAGAGATAACACTAAATTTGTTTCTTCTGATGACATGCAGTGGCACAAAAATTTAATAAAAAATGTATTGTACCAATGTCATTTTTTACCTTCAAAGTTTTACTTAAACAATAAATTAAAAATTAATCTTCAGCCATATTCAGATATGGTCAGAATTTTCATCTGCCAGGTCAGGAGTCTGTAGTCTTCAGCTCCAGAGCCACAAGAGGCTTTTTAGTTCACTTAATATTAAAGTTGTTTAGCATATATTTTAAATAACAAAATAATGCACAGAGTTTTGTTTCACCCTGGCCCTCCATGGTAAATTTGATCTAGAACAACCACTGGTCTTCTTTGTTGAAGGAAGTAAATGTTTCAGGATTCACATCTTCTGTGAGAATATCACAAATAACCCTGAGCAATGAAGGGTTGAAGTCTCTCTTTAGGAAATTATTGAGTATCACTTGAAAAAAGGAAGTATCAAATTAGACATAAAATAAAGAAACAGCTTCATTGCCTATTGGTAAAGCACAAACAGAACTGTGTGTCTCTTTCCAGGGAAAGGTTTCAGAAACGGAAAAACAACATAGAGCTCGATAAATTATAACACGTACTGTGTAAAAACTCACTTTTGCTTTTGTGAACAAATTTTTTAACAGCTCACTGGCAAATGTAAAGTAGAAAAAGACACAAGAGTTACTTAAGATGATCATGCAGTAGATTTATCTCAAGTATTATTTGGCCTTTTCCTACAGCTAATAATTATCAGCTGTTTCAGCTTTTCATTTGTTGGAGTCGTCTGTTTTCTGTTGAACAACCCTACTCTAAATAAAGAAGAGTTAAAAACGTTTTTAATAATTTGTTGCCTTTTCTGTTTCATTGGTTTAGGTGGAAAAGTCCCTCCAGACCATTTGAAAATAGTGATGATTGGAGATTCACTGGCTGGCAAGAGCTCAGCAGGAAACATCCTGATAAAAAATGCATTTCATGTTAATAAAAATGGAAGAACAACAATGCGCAGTGAAATCAGTCATGGTTTGGTTGAAGGAAGGCGGCTCACAGTGGTCGATTCTCCTGGTTGGTTCTGCATCAACACCCTTCAGGAAACCAGTGAGATGGATAAACTGGAAATAGAGAACAGTGTGAATCTGTGTCCTCCAGGACCACATGCTGTGCTGCTGGTTATTCCTGTGATAATAAACATTGATGAATCATATCTGAGATCTGTTCAGCAACACATGAGTCTGTTTAGAGAAGAAATCTGGAAACACACACTTGTTCTGTTTACCTATGGAGACTGGTTAGGAGTGAAGACTGTAGAGGAGCGTATAGAGAGTGATGAAGGTCTGCAGTGGATAGTGAACAAGTGTGAGAACAGGTATCATGTCCTGAACAACAAGGACCACAGTGATAAGACTCAGGTAAAGGAACTACTGGAGAAGATTGAAGAGATGTGGGCAGGAAATGAAGATGATCCTTACTATGAAGTGGAGCTGGACCGAGCAGCAGAGCTAGAAACCAAGAGAGAGACTGGAGACAAGATGGCCAGAAGGTTGAAGACGATCAATGAGAGAAAGACAAGAGTCCTGAATGAGCTGATTGGAGGTAAGAAATAAATATTATACATTTTATGGTATAGTCATATAATATGAGTGTCTTAAGATTAAAAGAACATTACAGTAATTTTTGTTTATTTTACAGGTGAGAGCCATCCAGTCACTGACATCAGGATTGTTCTTGTTGGCCAGAAATGTTCAGGGAAAAGTGAAGTTGGAAACATGATTATGTCCAATGAAAAATTTAAAATGACTTCTGAGAGAGCTTGGTTGACAAACGCAATGCCACATCCTGATACCCAGACTGTAGATGCCCAGTTAGTAAAGTAGATGCAAATATAATTTTTGTTTTTGCTTTTCATCTTTTCAGACCTACCAAGAACATAGAGAAACTTCAACATGTGTGAAACATGAAGGAAACTTTGATGGAGTAAAAGTCTCAGTTGTTGAAACTCCAGGCTGGTTCTCAGACCCAACACCACCTGACTGGATCAAAGATGAAGTTCTCCACAGTGTCTCCATGTGTTCTCCTGGACCTCATGTTTTTCTCCTGGTTGTTCTCATCCTCAGGTCTTTCACAGAGAAAGATCTCAAAGCTCTGGTGGAGATCATGAAGCCATTAACAGAGAGAGTGTGGAGACACTGCATGGTGGTTTTTACCTGGGGACACTGGCTCAGTGACCTCCCTGTAGAGAATTACATCGTCAGAGAGGGAAAGGAGCTTCAGGAGCTTCTGGAGAAATGTGGGAACAGATACCATGTTCTAAACCCCAATCGATATAGTGATGCTGTTCAAGTCAAAGAGTTGTTCCAAAAAATTATTAATATGGTAAAACAAAACAAAGGATGCTTTACAGCTGAAAGTGAACAAAATACATTTCTCAGTTTCCTTTGGCCACCAAAACAACCCACACTTACAGAAAAGGAATGGAGCAGGAGAGAACAGGAGCTGGTAGAGAGAATGATGAAAGCTTTAGCAATGGAACCAGAAGAACCAACAGAACCTGATGTGAGAACAGCAGAGAGCAAAGAAGGTGGTCCTAACGGTAAGTTTAATGTAATAATGATTTAATGTTGAGTTTACAGTCTTTGTTACATGCTTCTCTTTAATAACACTTCAATCTCTGTTTCAGTGAGTGGAGATGTTGCCTCAGATTATGGGAGCATTTCAGAGAACAGGAGACGACGAGGACATGATCAAGCTGCTGAAGGGCCGACTACCAGAGTTAGACCATCAGAGATCAGCTCTGGGATCGGGATCATTTCTTCTTCAAACACTGACATGGAAAACTTTGACGACAGTTCTGAAATCAGAGAATATGCAAATTCAAAAAAATAAAGTATTCACCTACCTATTGGGTTTCTTCTGGAAAAAGAAGCAAATATTTAAAAAAAAAGTATTTGCTTTACCTAATAAAGAAACAGCTGACATTTACTGATGTTAACATGGTGAAATTCAGTAAGTTTTTATATTCTTGTGATATACGAGTCTTTCAGAAATCACCTTAAATATTTACAATAGTTTTCATTACCCTAATATAGATCTTATCCTATTTTCTTTTACGATGCTTAGCATTTGTAAATGTTTACTTTGTCTTTTTAAACCAACTTTAGAGAATAAATGTCATGATTAGTTGATATGTATTCAAGAGAATACATGTCAGTAACAACATCCTTTATTTGTTTATGACTGGTTACATAAAGGTATTACTTATCCATCAATGTATATACTAGACTATTATGTTTTGTACCTTCCATCAGATTTCCATTTGGTCTTTAACATATTCACCTATATCTGAATATGTTGTGCAAATGTTAAGACATTAACATATTACTATGCTTCAGTATGTGATCATTACGTGAATATGGGGTTTGTTTTTCATAAAGAAAAAAAAACGTGGAGCTTATTCTGACATCAGCTTTAGAGACCTTTCAATCTGCTTAAATTGGGAGTAAGATTTTTTTCAAGTAAGTTTTGAATTTTTAAGCTCAAATTTCCCAATTGTAAATGACAATGTACTTATATAGCATCATTATGAGAAAAGAACAGGTGTGATATAATTTTTATTTTATTTATTTATGTATTTATGTATTTATTTATTGGTCTAATACAAACTCTTAACAGCGGAATTATGATTCCTAATTATTATGAGTCTTTGTTCTTAGGGACCTGAATTACGTTCACTACTTAGTTGAATTCACTATTCTGTTGAATAGACCGTTCCACTGATTCATTTGGCGTGCATGGGGAGATCAACTTGCTGTTGAAGCGATTGGGCGATGGTGATGGGGGTTTGTCCTGCAATTGGTGGATTGCTGTCATTGTGTTTGTGTGTGTGTTATGTTATTGCCTGAAGATAAATGTGGTTCAGTTTCATTGTTTATGTTTAACCAATAAAAGGTTAAAATCATGAAAAACATCGGGTTTGATGCTTCCTGGTCTAAATAACACGTAATGAAGTCAGGTTTCAGTGTATTTAGCAGCAGGGATGAGCTTTCATGCCACTTTCGTTTTTGTACATGTTGACTCGTGCGTAAAAAAATATGGTGACATACATTTTTTGTGCGTACGCCCGTTTTATACATGAGGCCCCTGGGACTGTAAGCTTCATAGCTCCTTTATTACCATTACAGTGATGGAGAAAATATAATTATTTTGTATTTGAGGTTGAACACTGTTTGGTGCAACACCTGTTCCATCTGCATTCGCAGATTCAGCCCACAGCATTTAAGAGCTCAGAAAATATCAAATAAACATCAGCAAAAATAATATACCAACCATTTGGAGCGCAGAAAATGGAAGTTGTGATTCCTGATACAGACCTGGAACAAACCAGCTCTGTGATTAAAGTATCAACAATCTGTAGATCAACACCCTGTGCTGAGGCTGAAAGTGTCAGAAGAGATTGTAAAACATTTTGTGATAGTTTTCCACTGTATGCACAAAAAAGTCTCCTCCATCAATGCATATGCTTCATGCTGTATATGTTACTTTTTGTACCACCTGTTAAATGTTCATTTAGACTAAAAAAGTAGTCATATCAGAGTGTGTTGCGCAAAAGCTTGAATCGTTAATTTTCGGAAGTTAATCAGACTTCAGTATTTAATCTTTAAACAGTGAAGGGGTTTGTTTTCAGACAAAGCACATAGGATGATAGTTCTGAGATTAGATATGAAGTTAATATGTCTCAATATGCTTGAGTTGGAACTGGGAGTGAGTTTTTCTAACTCAGGTTTTAGTCTATATTCAGATGTAAGACTTTTGATTTCCCATTTACAATCCAGACGGACAGATTCAAATTCCAGCAGGTAGAAGATGTCTAGATGTAAAACATAAGTGAAAATTCCCAGTAGAATAACATAAATCACATTCAATCACTTTTATCAAAATAATGGTCTGAGTAATCAAAGAGCTTTTTCATCTGTTGGTTCTCACCATCAGCTGTCTGAAACTCTCTCCAGATGATAGCAGCTCAGATTCACCTTTAGGTGATAAAAGGAGGGCAGAATGTCTTTTTCTTTTTTCTTTCTAGCCTGTGGTTTAAAATGTTTGTGCTATATCAGGTATCTTAGTACCAATAGTTTTGCTGGTCACTTCAGTCAATTGTTTAACTCTTTTTTTTGTCTCATTTTGATATATTGTAATATGAAATTATATAAAACATGGCTGCTGTTGCTAATGGTTTCTAGTGTTAGGGTCTATGTGTCACAGCTGCTGCTGAGCAGTGACCAGTCACACCTGATCTTCATCACCCTGATCTCCAGCTGCTGCCATATAAGGACAGATCTTCCCCCTGCAAGACATCAGGTTGTTGTGAAACACTCAGTGGTAATGCCTTCAGGCCTGCTGTAGCTACTTGAGCGATTTGCCCAATTACTAACCTGTCTGTCTCTTCCTAGTGATGGCCAAATGAAGCCTCCCAGGCCATTGCTTTGGCCAAAGGTTCATTACTCGGTGGTTCATTCATTCCTCACTAGTGACATCTGCTGCTGAAACTGTGGCAGCCTTGTTGCTCAGCTAGACATATTTTAAAAGATTAGTAAATGCAATTTTGTCACAATTTTTTTTGTCAAACTCATGATTAGTAACAGGAAAATTAATTAAATCCTGTTTAATTTTTATTTTTTTATTATTCAAATGATTTGTAGCCAAACTAATCTGGAGTATGTTGACTGTCGGTGCCTGTTTTCTCTTATGTCACAGATTCATTTGGCAATAAACATTTGTTTTACTGCATTGGGAGTGCAGAGTGTTTGTTGGGGCAGACAGTATTCCTTTAGTTTTGATTTGCCTCATGAAAAACTAAAATTCTTCAAAACTTTTTCTTGGATTTCTATTGACTCTCTGATCCCTTATAATTTTACACATCAGGCCAGAATATTACTCTTCCAACAGCTTTATGACTGTTTCTGCTGTGCAAGGCTGATATATCTATGCTGATCAAAATAATATTGGAAATTTCCAGAAGGTGAGAATTTTGGAGGTGGAAGGGTTAATTATTTTTATTTAACAATCTTATTGCGAGCGATCATCTCAAAGTATTCCCAGATGTCAGAAATTTTCTTGCTGGCTCCATTTCAATCAAGTTTATTTGTGTAGCACATTTCAGCAACAATGCAGTTTGAAACACATAAAAAACACAAAAATATAAAGTCATAAGATACACTATAATCAACAATTGAGAAAGCGAGGAACAAAAATTACATTTTGATTCCATCATCAAAATCATTAATACAATTCCAGCCACTGCAGAAGACAAATACTCTCCTCTGATTCCTGACCAAATACAATAACCTGCTAATAATGTGGATTGCTGGAATCAACAGTGAGACAATTAGATCATTCGTACACCTGCTATAAACTTATTGCATCTCTGGGAGTGCTGTTCACATTATATCCTATGCATGTATGACATAGGATACATTTATCAGCCAGCCAATTTCTGGATGCCAATTTCCTTAAATTTGGGAGATCGTGATCAGCTGATACTTCCATGTGATGCCCATCTTATTCCCTAACCTTATCTTTGTCAGCAAAGGTTTATAAATCAGCCTCTGTCCTCTTCTGCTCTACAATCAGAAGTTTGACTGACAGATCGACCAGATCACGTCTGCACGTTTGCAGTTAACAATATTCACCCCACTGTTGCCAACTCAGTGACTTTCTTGCTACATTTAGTGACATTTCAGACAAAAAACATTGGTATCAGCCAAAATTGGCAGGTCACGCTTTTTAAAGATCTAACCGGCCAGAAAACTGCAATCGGTATACAGCATGAAGCCTATGCACTTATGTAGAAGACTAACAAATGAAAATTAGATGTTATTAGTGATTTGTATTCTCAATTCAATGCAGTTCAATCAACTATTCATTATTTCCAAATTTGGGTTAATAAGTAAACATTTAAATTTATTGAATTTAATTATTTTACCTTCATTTGTACAATTATTAGCTCGTTTTCACCTACATTGTTTTCCACATAATGTTTTCCCTGGCCACAAGGGGGCGCTTTTTGTAGTCTGAAGGGACCTCTGGGTATTATTAGACATCAGCAAAAAGCAGTACACAAAGTACGGAAGAGGATTAGGGCCACTAAAAAACATAAATCTGACTTTAATCTCAGAATTCTGACTTTTTGTGGGTATTTTCTCGGCAATTAGCACTTATTTTATCTCTACACGTGAGAGCACACTTATGAACGGAAAAGGATTAGCCACTGCAAAAAAAAAAAAAAAAATATGAGGAAAAAAAGTCTGAATTCTGAGATTAAAGTCAGATTTTTTTTCTGTAGTTCTAATCTTCTTCTGTAACAAGGTGTCCATTCTTATGTTTATTGTTCTGGTTTATTTACAACTTTGTGCCGTCCATGACAATGGGATTTTGCTATGGATGCTGGGAGATGCAGTTTGCTTGGCTCGCTGGTGAAATTGGAATCCAACAGGAATAAACCACAGAGTTGAACTTGTTTTGATTTTATATTCTAACTTTTCTTAACTACGTCATATGGAGTGACTGCAGTGAAATGTGTGACTGAAGACATTGGAAATGAAAAGTTTTTTAAGTTATAGTTTGTGAAAGAGAGATGCGCTTTGCTTTATCAAGAAATGATAACATTTAATTTTCCATAACAGTACAAAGGTCATCTTTGTTATCATTGACCTGTGTACTGTAATATGTTTTGCTTTTTACATACAGTGGATAACTACTGTCTCAAGATCTTCTGACCTTTTCAACCCCCCCCCCCCCCACACACACACACAGGAGGAAGGGTTGTCCTGGTTTCACACCAATGAGGAAGGCTTCAACACTGACTTGCATCTTTGACATAATGATAAGAAGACGAATAATAAAAAATTAACAATATATAGCACAGCTACATTCAGATAGCAAACTAAGCCAATGACAAAGTGCTTCTACAAAGAAGTAGGATCATTAGAATAACCACATACCTGCACATATCTGAAAACATGGTCCACAGTTTGACATGAGCTGTTTTGGATTCTTCTTGTGACCTTTGGATGTAGGACGAAGCACATGAACCAACAGAAGAATGCCTGGTTTTCCCAGCCTGGAGGAACAACAGGATAAATAGCAGACACATTAGGATAATAAAAAAACATTTTAAAGAGAAGAGTGAGCAAAACTAACCACACCCACATGTGTATGTCACCATCACAGTCATTCAAAATACTTAGTCCACCCGGTTTAGCCTGGAAAGCATTTCTCACCACCTACAACATAAAGCATGGTGTATACGACTGTTTAATACAGGGGTACTCAAGTCCAGTCCTCGAGAGCTACCATCCTGCAACTTTTAGATGCATCTTGACTCCAACAGACCAGGATCAGCTCTGATCAGACCTGCTAACCAGCCATTCATTTGATTCAGGTGTGTTAATTGGAGCAGGGAAGCATCTGAAAGTTGCAGGATGGCAGCTATCAAGGATTGGCCTTGAGCACCCCTGTACTGAACAGTCGTACCGCGATATTCAAACAAATAAACTAACGTTAAGCATAAGTTGATACTCTTGTGCAAATAGAAATTTAATGTATTCATAAAAAATAATCAAAAACATGATGATTTTAACATGGAACTTGCCTTGTTATGATAAGCTCCAGACAAGACGCCATACTGCTGCCTCCGCTCTATGTGACGTTGGTCACATTGGTGTGTGTGGAACGTGTTTTTAAACTAAGTGGCCAGTACGCTAAAGTTGTACCTTTGATGCATTAAATTAATTTTTCAGTGTGTAACCACTTTTGTAAATGTTGCCATGCCTGAGTTGTTTGGGATTAAACTAATACAATCTTATTTTTTCTAAATCAACACTGCTTAATGAAAACATAATGCAAACTCTTGATCTTTTATTTAATAAAATCGATCATTTTGATGGCTAACACAAACAAGTCATACTGAAAACCTGGAAAACTTTAACTAAAAAGAGAAATACTAAGGGTAAGGATGAACTAACACATGAAAAAATAAAACAAAATTAGATTACTGGAAGATCTGAGAAAACAACATGGCAACCCAGGATTTGTTGTACTTTGAAAGAGTATATAATTTGCAGAAACAAGTGAGCAGGTGGTAAAATAGGAAAGTAGCTGGTGACATCTAGAAAATCTGGAAATAACAAGGCTTTTATTGTTAAAACTCGAAGTGATTTTTAGGAAAAACAGGAATGGAGTGAGGTCCAGTTTATTTCAAAAAAACATCAGAAATTAACCAGTTGAAGTTTCTATGGCTCAATGACCGCCTCACAGGCATGTGATGTTATTAATGAAAATGTCTAATCCAGTAAATGACTTTTCTTTTTCTGTATTCATTTTTGTATTGGATTGGTGATTCAGAAAGAAAAACAACCTTTTAACTTTAGCCAAAGGTAATAGGAGATGATGAATCACTTTTAATGCTATAATTGTACGATCCTTTTATATGTTTGCTCCACTTCATAAGTTATAAATGAAGAAAGACTTTCCCTCAGTTTAGGACATAATATATCTAATTAGTGGCTTTTTTATAAGAGAAAATGCTCTGTTAATTTTTTTAAAATTAACATGAAGAATATAACATTTATTTGCATTTATTATATATTTATTTCTGACTTTCAGAAATTGACTTAATAATCAAACAGCCTTCGTGTTTTCTTTATTCAGTGATGATTTCTAAGTGCAAAGAGTGATACATTTTTTGCCATTCTGATCTGTTCCTGTTTGCTTCACACAGATAGTAAAATCCCTGTGTTTTTTGGGTTTGTTTCTGATTGAATGGACTCATCTTGGAAAATTGATAAATCTTTTGTTGCGTAATAAATGTTCTCACACTAATGAAAAAGAAACATTTAGTTCAAGAATATCACATTTACTCCCCTTGATACAATTTCTATCTTAAATCTTAAAAGCGTGTGCGCTGTTCTTTATAATTTCTTCCCAACATTGTGTTAGATTTGATGAGTCTTAATTATCTTTTTCCTAGCAGATAAGTCTTATTACATATTGCTGGAGGGTGACATGTAGCTGTAATCAAACAAAGTCAAGTGAAACATACAATAAATGGCAGCCAAGAAAAGGAACAGATGTAAAGGAAGTAGGGTGTGAAACAGGAAGTTTGATTCCAAACCATAAATAGAGGAACTCAAGATATGTTTCCATTGTTTTCTGTACATCCCCCCAAGAACATTTGACCTCAGATGTAAGAAAGTGATCACAATGCAACTATTAGGCACTTCCTCAATATAGTACTTGCATCATAGTGCTTGTTGTACATATATGGCTGGTATTTTTTATGAAGTACTTGACTGCGACTGGTGTCAGCACAATTATCAAGAGATGCAGGATTCAAGAAGAGATTAAACACCAAAAAAGCTGACGAAGTAGTTTCATACTAACGGTTCAATAAAGGAAGCAGGACTTAACACAGAAAAGAAATGGAAGTAAATTAAAACGGAGATAAAACTAATGGAAGCAAAAAACACAAAACATTAGCAAACTCATTAGGTATGACATTAACATGTTTCACTTCACAAAGTGATTTTAATAGACTGAGGTGAAATTTAAAGTATTAGAAAGGCATTTTTGATTAAACTAAAGTTGGATATCCACTGATAGTATTTTTTCTCAAACTGTCTGATTAGGAGATGTTATAATTATATCTGCAGCTTTTATTGTCTGGAATGTAAAACAAACTAGAGGTATGTTTTCATACCTCTAGTATGGAAACTAGAGGTATATGCCACATTATGACACATGCACACATAAACGACTGTGTGTTTCATTTATGTGTGCATGTGTCATAATGCGGCATATGTTTTTTGTGTACAAGTCATAACTGCATATTTACTTCCTCTTAGCAGTGAAGCAGATGACCTCTGCACAGCAGTGAAGCTCTGCCCCTGTCGCGTTTTACTGCTGAGGAAACATGAACGCTTACAATTTTCTGTTTGCTTTGTTTGTATGCCTTGGAAATCCAGGTGAGTTTGAATAATTTAATCTTTCTGTGTTTATTTAAAGGCTTGGCGTAATAATTCATTTAAAAAGTATTAAAAATGACTTCTCTCATTTCTCTGCAGTTTTTTCAGAGGAAGATTTTTACCAAGTCAAAGCATGTTGTTCATTCAATGGTCCAAACTTTGACAGTATTGAACACATACTTACAGCCAGTTTTAACAAGCAAACGATGATGGAGTACAACAGCACAAGAGGAAACTGGATTGGATTTACAAATTATTCAATTGTGGCTTCACGGTTATGGAACAAAGACCCTTTGGACCGCTTTGAAAGAGCAACGGAAATGAGGCTAATGTGTTACGGGAACCAAGAATACATACAAGCCATCAGTAAGAGCAATTATTTTTAACAATATGAAGCTCAGTTTTACTTTATATACCAATATGGGGCTGAGACTGTGATGTTATGTATCCCCATTTAACGGCAATGTACAGAAGAACTTTTTGTACTTTAACAAATATGTTTATATTTCTACATGACATCAAGTAAAAAAAAATATTTATAATGGATTCATTAACTTTTGTGTCAATTTCTGTGTAGATTTTTAAGAAAATGTTTCTATGTTCACAATGACTTGGCTATGATATTATGCACTACATTGAACACTATAGAAAAGTAAAAGGTAAGGTCTAATGTGAAAGAAATCGTAAATAATAACCCGTTTTTTTCTAGGAAACCTGTCGACAACGCCCACCATGAGGCTAAAATCAGTGAAACAGCCAAACGGTCGACATCCAGGCATGCTTGTGTGCAGTGCCTATAACTTTTACCCAAAGCAAATTAAAATAACCTG